CAGTCAAATCCATTTTTTTGTCTTGGAATTTCCTTGACACTTTCTCTTCTCCATTCAATCAAATTGATATTGCCTTTCTTTTTGTCGTCGCTTTCACATTTTATATACTCGGCCAATGCATTTAATAGTCTTTGGTTTGGGGTATGATACGAGTCATAATATTTTATGGTTTTATCCATCATATTGATGATGGAAAGACACCAATGACTATCACGCTTGTCGTAGGGAATCAGAATTAAATCTTTTGAGAATATATCGATATCCTGCGTATAAATTCGTACATTTTGGTAAGTTTCATTTGTCACACTTTTTCCACCCAATAAATATTGAGTGAAGCTTGAATCCATACTATGAATTTGTGGCAGGCTACTGTAGGATTTACTGCGATCAGCAATAAGAGACATATAAAAATTTACGACATGATCAGTCAACCACTTTGATAAAGGTGGTATATGTGTTTCCCATCTGAGTGTTCTAATGTCGTTTCGTTTTATTGTGATACCATATTTGACAATTAAAACATCTTCATCGTCTTCTTCATCGTCTTCTTCATCGGCTATCCATTGGTCTATTTGTTTTTGCATTTGTTTGTTGATGGATGGATAATCCGTTTCGGGCCTTGCCAATATGTTACGAACGAACTTTTCATTTTTTTGATCACTTCCATCTTTTTCAATGTTGCAAAATTCCATTACTTTTCTCGTAATTGGTCTATTATGACAACTGTAGAGATTTAGTTGCCTTTTTACTGCCCATATTAAGTCCACTTGAGACTTAGCTGTCTTTTTTCCTCTTGGAATAGCTCCTATCTTCTCATCTAGATCAACTAGATCTTTTGGAAGTTGTTGTTGGTTGTTTTGGTTTTGTTGTTGATTGTGTGTTGCCATATTGATTTACGAGTTGAGCTCAACAGTCCGCCAGGCACGTCTGAGCTACGTACACTTGCATAAAAATTCCCCGTTAGCGACTGATTTACGCATCAGCCATCCAGACATCAGCACGGGAAAACACCTTGTCTTGCGTCCTCTGCATTTAACGGGCTTGGAACCGTTTGATTCTACAAAACTAATACTTTGTGAGAACCAAGCTGCATTAAGTTGTTGATAATTACAGTTACAGTCTTACAGACAAAACTGCGACTGATTTCTGCTCAGTTACTCCAATAAAATATTTCACTTTTTTTTGCTTTCATAAAAATATCTCATACGAAACAAAATATACGACGCAGAATTTAATTGTGCCTATTTTCACCTTTTTCAAAAAAAAAATAATTTCTAAAAAAATATTTTTTAATTTTTTTTATTTATATTTTTTCGTTTTATCGAAAATTCCATAGCAGTGAAACGTCATGTTTGACAGCTACTACGCGTACCAGTAGTGTCATCCAGCTGCTGGAGTCCAGCAGCTGTTTTTTCAAAAAGCATCATTCAATAATGATTTTTATTTCTGAAAAACTCAAAAAATCTTCTTTTTAATTATTTTTTTCGGATGGATAAAAATAATTAATTCACGATTTGGTTCAAAATTGGTCATGTTCTAAAAAAATAACATTTTTCCATTCGCTACAAACTGTCCATTTGAATTGACATTTTTGTTCTTATGCTAGCAACTTCAGCAGCTCGATGTGCACATAACAAATTCAGAATAGGCATTTTTTATTTTATAAATTGGTTTTATGTTTCATTTTTTTAAGCGGTACTTTTATCCGTGTTAAATGAATAAATTCTTGAAATATCTACACTGAAACAAAAAAAATCTTGATTCAGCTGCTGGAGTCGGACTATACATTTCAATCACATTCAAGAGAAGAATTGCAAAAATCAACATTCGGTAACTTTTATTAAACTAAAGAAAATTATATTATTATTATTATGCATTTAAAGTTGTTTAAAATTATTTTAGCAACAAAAATTAATAAAAATCCAGTAATAAATTATTGTCGTTGTTTGTTATAAACATAGATGCGTACTGAAATAGTTCGGTACGTTCATTTGACATATTACAGGTGGCGCGTCGAACCGCAAAACTACGTATTTCATTACTATCGAAAATTCTAACTGTATACTAGTTCAATGAATTGTATTTAATTTTAAACTTTTGCACATTCTTTTGTGACCAAATAAAATAAAATAACGAAACCTTACATTTCTTTTATACTTTTTTTCTTTTAGGAGATTTAATTTTACTTTTCCGCACATCTAGTGTGAGACATTATTCAAAAATGACTCTACTATCTAATTCAGGATCACGAGGAGTACAGTTGGTCAAATTTTCATCGATATTGGTTAATCGGTGTAAAATGAAGAATCGCCCTGAGAAGGCGAAAAATCGATACCTTTTTTGTTAACACGATAACTCTTCTTCCAAAAACGCAATTCAAATTCTGACTGATTCATTTTTAAACAATTTTTTAACAATTTTAGTGACGCTATAGCTCCCTGATCAGACACGAAATTCTAAATCTGACTTTACTACTGACTAAAAGTCAGCTTGCGCACGTAAGCCTCTCTATCGTTTTTCATTCGTTTACTACGAACCGTAAACGAAAATAAAGCACGCAAAAATTGGCTCTTTCATGGGAAAAGGGTTACGCGTGAACAGGTAAATTCCGGGTTAGAATTTATAGTGGCCCGTATAGAATATATCCAACATTGAACTTCACCAAAAACTTTATTTTTTATAATAACGTCCATGAATTTGATAAAAGTTCTTAGAAACACAAAGGAATTATATTCGCAGATTGTGTATAAATCATAAAATAATGTAATTATCAAACTCAAATAGTCCAACAGAATTCAGAATGTTCCATTATTTTTATCAATTTTGGATGATAGCAAATGCGGTAACCTTTCGGTATGCGGTAACCAACATCGTAATTTGTTGACTCAATAAAAGTTGTTTTGAAGGTGTGTTCTGATAAGTAGCACCTTTGCTAATAATACTTTAGATAATTAAGTTGATTGCTGACAATATCTGACAAGATATCAATCAAATTGATGGAATTTTAAGAAATAAATTCCAAACAAGATTATTTTGTAATTATTGTATTGGATACATATATGCCTTATATTGTATTCCATTGAAAACTGCAAAAACTAACTGATATCTCAGTGTCTCCACTCATTTGCATAACTTTCAATCTTGAATTTAAGTACGTAGAATTGGCTGAACCTTCATATAAATACCTCCTTTCGAACTAATATGATTTCAACTCACATGCCCCTCTGCCAAATCGACAATTTTCAATATTTTTCCAAACTCTCGAATGTTTTGATTTCTTAGAGAGCACTCTCACTGGCTTCTCAGTGTCTCCACTCGTTTGCATAACTTTCAGTCTTGACTTTTAGTACGTGAAATTGGTTTGACCTTCATATAAATACCCCCTTTCGAACTAAT